TTCCTATCCTTTCCAAATGCCTTTTGCCTGTGTAAGAAGTTATGAAAGAAGAATCAAAGCTTTATCTGTCTATAATAATTTGGTTACACTCCAAACAATGTTTCACTTGGTTTCCACTTCACCTTAATTTTCTCAGATATCCTGAGTATCACTGTTTGTTTGAAGCCTGTTGGAGGAGACGCTGCCTCTTTGTGAAGAATCCAATTTCCCCAACACTACAACACGTCTCTTGCTCACTGACTGCCTAACTTTGCTTCTACACAGTGTTTCCTAGGAGATCAAATGGGAGCTTGAAGTACTCAAAAACCTAGTGTGGCAATGAAAAATAACTTATTAAAGTTTATAATTACTGAAAAATTAATCAGAGACTTAGCATGGTACTTGCATAAAGACAATAAGCCAAGCTCTTGTCATAGTGAAATATGGAATAACTACGTTGAAATAAATCTTAATTATGCTAGAGTTGCTACTCAGTGTGACTTAATTAGGAGTAGAGCAGTGAAAGCCTTTGGGGAAAAAAAGAACGCTGATTACACAACCACTTAACTGCATATTCTTCCTTCCCCCTGGTTCTTTTCCTTCCCATCAGAGAAAATTTCAAAACTAGAGTTGTTCAAGGAACTTGAATAGACATTAACTTGTGGCAGGTTACATCTAAATAGGAATTGTTTGAAGTAAAAAGTTGAGGGTGATAACCCTGAAGATAATCTCTTTAAATTATGCATGCAAGGTGTCATGCATCCATATCTACCTTGACCTTAAATAGTGCTTTGCTTTGTTAGGCAATAAATTTATGAAACATAGAATGGTTTAAGTTGGAAGGGACCTTAAATACCATCTAGTTCCAACCACCTGCAATGGGCAGCACACTTTGCACTGCTCCAAGACCTGTCCATCTTGGCCTGGGACGCAGCCAGGAGTGGGGCAGCCACAGATTCTCTGGGCAAACTGTGCCAGGGCCTCCCTACCCTCACAGTAATGAATTTCTTCCTAAAATCTAATTTAAACCTACATCAAGTACTGGACTACAAAGATGAAGACTTAACTCTAATTAAAAAGAGGGAAAAAAAAGACAGAATATTAGATTTAGATTAAAATAGCCCACAGAACAAAGTGTAAAAAAATAAATCTTCACTGCAGCCCCCCCAAGTGCAGCATGCAACTATGGCTATAGAGTATAGACAGATATATTGTTTAACAAGCACACCAACAATGTAAGAGGCTCATTTGTCATGGTATCACTTCTTACCAGGTAGAAGACATGCAAAGTCAAATATATCATGGCAATAAATCTGTTGACTTCAACAGAGTTATCTCAACAATAAATTCAAAGCAATATACTTTGAGGGAATGAAACCAAACCAAGCAGGAGATGCACACAAGGTTCTTGGGAGATTATCTAGACCATATATAAAATCAGACATTAAAGGAATATGCACAGTATTGCAGGGGATTTATGGTAACTGGGGAAAAATGTGTGTAATGAAGATCCAGTATGCAGCATGTTATCAGAGTGTCAAATTGCTTGGCATGAGCTATGTGCTTTCTTCACAGGTGCTCTGCAGCTCCAGTTAGGCTGAAAAGATGCTGTAGAAAAAGATATAGAGTACTGAAAAAAAAATTCAAGAAAAGTAAACAAAAACAAGTAGAAAGAATTAAAAAAATATGGACTCTGCGTCCCAAAATTATTCCAGTTTTCCTTGTTCCACAGAAACTGATCTATTTGCAGAAGTAAAGGCTGCACTGGTTCTTTTTTGGTGGATGTGGAAATTGGTTGAAAAAAATAACAAAATTACATCCATGAAAGATGTGATTTGTTTTCTGCTTCACTCCTGCATCAACAGAGAAATAAAAACCTTCTAGTCCCAGTGTGTGATCTGTATATTTGGTACCTGTTATACAAGTGCTACTGCACATGCATGACACTGAGAGGAGTTGGTTTGACACCTCATCAAATTCTTGCTTATTTGTGTGAGCCCACCTTTAATATTGACATTTTCTGGTGTCTTGGCTTACTATACTCTGCTATGGGAATTCCACTTTTTTAAACAATTTGTTGTGCATAATACTTCATAAGCAAAACAGAACATTTGGGCTGAGTTCTTCCTGGAATTTATGCCTAAAATTGAATCTTGGGAGGCATGTTTATAATCTTTTCTCTTCCTCTTGATATTTTGTTATTTTAAGTAGGGTTAATCTTCCTAAGACTGGATGACTCAGCATTCCTGATGTCTGTGTTTGAACCAGTTGCTGAGCTTCCTTGATCACTGGTGGACAGAAATCTGAATTTTAAAAAATGTGATTCATTTACTCCTAATATACAACTGTAAAATGGATCAGAAGTGTCTGTCACTCTCTTATGGCCATAAAGGAAGTTCGGGTATAAATATCTACATTGCTAATATCTGAAGTTAGATGAGATGAATCCTGGCTTTGATGGCTTTGGAAAGTGCTATTTCCCTCAACACAATGCATGACAGACATCCCTGGGATACATCTGGGCAGTGCAAGAGAAGACCAGGAACTTCCCAGTTCACACCTCCAGAAGTGATAACCAAGGGTCACAGTGCTGCAACAATCCAGGTTTTGTGTGGGCAGTGGAGGAAATCTAAAAAGATTGGGAAGCTTGACATTCACAATGGATTGTTCAAAATAGGATGGATATTGCACAATGTCATCAAGATACAAATCAAGGTCAATAAAAACTTCCCAACTAGAGGCACATCTGACCCATAACCCAACACTAAAATGTCCACTGCTTCTAAACCTTACTGAACTATTTATATCTCAGTTCCGTGTCTGGCCCTTGGATATTTTGGGTCAAACCAGTAACCTTGATCTAGCTACCCCTGAATTTTTGATCTAGAGTCAAACTTTGGAAGCTTTGCCTGTCTAGAAAGTTTCTCTCTCTCTAAGACATGTTGCACTCAAAAGTTTTCTCCAACAATCAAGAGCTTTGACCACTCCTACAACACAGAGGTCATTTTTGGCAAATGATAATGGCAAAGTACAGAAAATATAGAGAAGAGGTGAAATTTCATTCCTTGGAAGCAGAAGCAGCTCATGAACATTAGAACTGGCATTCAAATGGCTTTTTTTTTTTTTTTTTTTTTGTACTGCAGGTGATTTTTTTCTGTCTCTTCCTAACCATAAAACAGTAGGAAGAGGTGAGACATGTCACATAGCAAAGAATTAACATCTTGCAGAGAGCTTTTTAGTAAGACATATGTACACTTCCTCGTCAGCAAACTCTGCAGGTTTGAGACTGAGTTATCAGCCACAAATAGACATGTATACACATTTTGGAAGGCAAACAGCTTCCAGATTATCTTTTAAAGGTACCCACAAGTAATACAAAGTAGACATAGACACTTCATATAGTGATATCTTTACATAGTGTCCTCATGGATACTATAGGTTCAGGAAGACATTGTTCATGGAGGAGATGCTATACCATATTCCAGAAAGTAGAAAGCAAGCCCTTTTAAAATACTGAAAGGAGAGATTGACATGGCAAGCTCCAGTGCAAAACTGGGCCAAGAGCAAACTGAAATGGCTAGGTCTGTTTTCATCCCTTCCCTTGGGCTACCAAGCTGAATAGTTTACAAAGCAGAGAAAGTCTTTCATAGTCCTTTACAGTACAATTTCTAGTGCCACATAGTAACTGAGGATTTACTGCACTCTCCTGTGAAATTTTAACTGCCATAACAAAGCTTTATGTTGCAGATGATCAACACTCAAATATTTAGGAATAATAATAACAACAGTAAAAAAGACATTTTACCCTCCCCTCCCCTTCCCACAGGGGACCAGTCTGTCTTCTTACAACTAGGGGTTGATCTGACCCCATGCAAACATTTACAAGGTGTTTTTTTTTTTTTTAAATGTGTGGCAAGTTTTTTGTATAATATTTTGCTTAAAGAAGGGGAAAATCCCACTTCCTGCAGCATATTGCAGGGACCAGCAAACATATCCCTTCATCCCTTGGACCAAATATATGATGCTAAGACTGTGCAGGTGTTCCAGAGCTGACTCAGCTGCTACATGGTCACATTGTGCCTGTGAAATGCAATCCATCATTGCGTTTGTAGCTCCTGCTTGATTAATATTCAGTATTTAATGTCAACACCAACAAATTAGGATTCAGAAGTGTTACACTGCAGGAACTGCAAACAGTGCTGCAGTAATGATGGCCTGGATTAGTTTTGTGAGATTTGTTAATTCAAGGGGAAATTCATAATTACCAGAATAGGTGTATGGTATCAACTACCAGCTATGACCTCTTGGGATAACAGTGATATGTCACATTTAAAGGAACTACATGTTAGATTTCCAAATGGCTATGATTGTTTCTTCTCCTGTATAAATAGTACTTCTGTCCTTTTGCCATCCATATTTGCAATAATGCTCTAATTGTGGTGTTACAGATATACCAGGTATACTGGATTTGGGAAGTACTTTGGCTTAGATAGTTTTAAACATTTACTTCCCAAGTGCATAGGTTTCATCTTAACTAACTTGCTCAAGAAAATAAAAAATTACCATGGCATTTTCAATCTCTCTTGGTCTTGTAACCTTTTCTTATTTGAAATATTGTTTAATTCTCTTCCATGGACAATTTTTTCAACCAAATCTGCCTTTTCCCCTAGTGTTTACTTAATGGCAACTCTTTTTTTCACCTTAGCTTTAGTCCTACATATGACATATTAAGCAATTCCCATTAGAGCTACAGTTTGAGACTCAGGAACACTTAATGGCCAACAGACTCTTCCCTGGTGGAGAATGAGGATTCAAAGGAAACATTTGAGATTATTTCGCTTTCATTATTTTTGTTAAAAAAAGTTTGCACCTTGAGGTGTCATGAATACCCCTTCTTGATCTTCCTTTGCCTTGTCAGACCTGGCCAGCACAAGCAGCTGAGATCTTTGCTCTATTTTCCCTGCATCTCTGTGCAACGCTTTTTTAAAAAGAGAATATACTATTATATTTTTCTAAGCCTTTCAGACTGCTGTAACATGATCAGGATTCTCCTGAATCTCTATGCATTCGATCTCTTCTCGTTCCTTCCTTTTGGCCCGTTTCTTTTTCTTGTGGTGCTTTTTGGAAGGTGGGAAAAAGGTTAGAAAGACGGGCAAAATAACAAAACAGTGCAGAAGTGTGCAACTGCCGGCAAGCAGCAAGCATTTGAACAGTGTGAAGGTCAAGTTTGAAGGCACAAAGAGAAGGGGGACCAACCCGATAAGAAAGGAAGAAACGTTCTGCAAAATGGCTGTCCCATGCTCTTGGAGGGAGTTCTTTATACACTGAGTTCGGGTGTGCTCAGTAGCTAATACAAATGTATAAAGCAGGGGTGCACAGTGATCTATGGCAAAATTCAAAGTGTAGATAAGGCACAGTATAGAAATGCAATCCATGTCTACATTCCATAAGGTCATCAAGCCAAGGACACCCAGCTCTATTGAGGTGACGCTGAGGATTAACCAGAAATTTCCCAGAGGGTGGATAACCAGGAAAAAGGTCAGTATTAACACCAGCAGGATGCCAAAACCAGAAATCAGGACAGGCATAGTTACTGATAAACCATAGTGGTCCATGAAAACAAAAGTAGGGTTGAACACAATGAACTTGATGCTCTGTATAAGAGAAAGCGGCCTCAGCTTCTCCAGCAGTTCCACCGCTTCCCTCTGTGTGTTTTCACTAGTCCTGGCCACAAGGTACAGACGAGAAGCAATTATATTGTTCTCATCTCCAGCTTTGGAGAAAATGATGTCATTTTTGAAGTGCTGGAATTCTGGCTTTTTTAAAAAGGAGCTCTGGAGGATGCTGATAAAGTCACTTTTGTTGGTTGCGCTGATGTTACCCACTCGAAGGTATTGGTAATACTGTTCAATCCAGGACACGGTGTTGAACCCCTGGCTGAGAGTTTTTAGGTCTTCTTGCACAGTACCATTCCAGTACTCCAGAGGTTCATAGATGTAGAAGCCTATCACGGGGCTGTAGTTACTGAAATACTTTTGCTGTATGAGGGCATAGGAGACGCTCGGGGACTCACTGGCAAGAAGGTTGATGATGTTGGCTCCATCATTAATCTGTAAGCACCCCATAAAGGAGAAAGAGGCATAGATGAGATACAGTATCACCACAAATGGCTTGACGTAGATGTTGGTAATCCACTCGTTGTAGTGCTCTCGGAGGAAATGCTGGATAAAGTGGTGCTGGTACGGGTTGGTCTCGTGGTGGGAAGTGTGCTGATGGCCGTCATTCATCATGGTCTGGAACCACACCGGTTTCCGGTCCAGGTATTCTGCCGAGGGGATTTTACAGCAGAAGATGCTGTGGTACCGGTTCTGCTCCAGCTGGCCAGCAAAGACCAGGCAGGAGCCAAAGAAAGAGAAGATGTAGAAGTAGTTCAACAGGATGGAGACACACATGTTCTGGCAGAAGACTTTTACAGCTTCGATGTTGGTGAAGGGGCTTGCCCCCATGCCAAAGGCTATGAAGTACAAGGAGCTGGTCATGGTGTAGGAGACCATGACATCTGAGTAGGCGTCTGCTACTCGGTCCTTGAAGGGCAGATTCTCCCTGGTCCGACGCCATCCTGAAAGAAGTTCAAACACTCCTTTGGTTCCGTGACCTGAAATGAGAAAACAAAGTTTGAATTCGTGCATAAATATAGAGGGTCCAATCATCCCCCAGGTGTTTCATCCTCCAGCAGTAAAAAAAATTTGTCAGCTAAATTTTGTTATGTTTTTGTCACCGGTTAAACAAGTGGAAAAAACTCTTAAGTGTCTGTCTAAAGCTAAATACCACGTTCACCTGCAGGTGCTGAAATTAACAGCCCTGACATTCTAAGACTCTCCATGCTCAGAAAAAAAAATGAAGATATTAATTGATTTTAGTGGACATTGAATTACTTCCCAAATGGACTGCAAATACAGGAGAGTGTGAAGTTTGGTTTCAAGTCTGGGGTTCATTCTAAAAATTCCTTTTTTCATCCTATTACATTTTTCAAGGTTTAAGGGATTCAACTTGAAAAACTTAAAATACAAGTAACATTTTCTTCCAAAGAGTATAAATTAAAGGGATTATTTGAGAAATGAGTGGTTGTGACCAAGAATGGAACACCTTGTTTCTTTGTAAATGATAAAGGAAAAATTATGCTGTAAATACAAATAACCAGAGTAATTTGTATCATGATTCTCTGCCTACTGAGTGAAATTGGAACTCTCAATGATAGCACACAGTTTGCACACTATGAAAATTGGCATGCTGGTGGTGATGATGGAGAGTAGTGTACTGGCTAAGCCATTGGTCCACATTCTTTGTCTAGGAAATGTATGGGTTTATTTTCTGGATTATATCTGTGTGTCTTTCTGCTATCCAGAGCTCCTCCTGGTGGTGAGGAGTTCTCTTAGCTCATGTGAGAGGCCATTCAGAAAAATCAGATGTGGTCAGTATTCTATGACAGGTTCTGACTTTGTATTCTATTCCTAAGTGTTTTAGGGGTATGATATTTTAATAAATTAAAATTTAATACAGACTTACTTTAATTTTACTTGTCACAGTCACAGTCTAGGAAGTCTACAGCTATTATATTTTGTGACAGAATGATAAAGCTGGAGCTGATCTTACTGGAAAAGTTTAACAAATAAGTTATGTATCATGTATACATTTTCATATAATGTGTATGTTGAAAAGAATGTATACACACATACACATTCTTTTTTTTTAACCATTAGAGAATTTCAACTTGAGGGAAAATAGAAAAGTCAACATTCAAAAAACCCATTCAAAATGGTTTGGCTTTCAAATAACAATTAAATTTGGCTTTCAAATAATAATTAAAACAATTTAAAAATTTTAAACAATTAAAACCAGAAATTTGAATTTCGATTAGAAAGTGAAAAGTTCTCTTCACTTTGGATCTAGCCCTGAGAAAATTCTGGCCAATGTAAGGAGACACACTATGAGCAGAAAAAGGAGTAGATTGCAGAGGTTTCTGCCTCTGTTTGTGGGCCTTCACTCACTGTAGTAGAAGAATTGCATGAAACAAAGCAGGCACAAAGCAAATTTTCTCAGATCAAACCCAGAAATATGACAACAGGAGATTTGCAAATAGCCAAGTGTGTGCAATGAAAGGTCTGTTGAGTTTGTCTTTAGATTTAAATTGTTTGGATTCATACAGCTGCTTATGTTGCCCAAAGCAGACTCCTGACAGCCATTCTAGGCAGGGAAAATAACAGCATAAACTGTCAGGTTCTGTGAATGTTACCTGCTCTACTGCAGATCAGTATCCCCAGTGAAAGATAAACATGCATTGGTACAGAAGTCTTGCAGCTAGCAAAAAGCCTGTGTGGAGATGCTGCTCTCTTAAGAGCCAGCATCTCAGCTCAGGAGGGACCTTGAATTCCCTGGTAAGTTTAGGGTGAGTTGTTTAAATTCTCAAGGCACAGCTGCCTTGCACACTGTCATTTTTGGGCCATCAAGCAGAAAGGATTGTCTCCTTCAGCGGAATAAATCTGCAGAATCAAGTGACTTGAATGCAATGTTTATATGACTGTAGCAAGTGTTTAAGTCTCCTGCAGGTTGTGGACCAGGCTGGTCACCACTTCAAGGGCCCGTGTCCTGGCATGGCTTAATTTAATGGTACAGAAACCACAGACCTATTTAGGTTGGAAGTGACCTTTAAAGATCATCGAGTCCAACCATTAACCCAGCACTGCCAAGCCCTGCACTAAACCATGGCCCTCAGTGACACCTCTGCACATCTTCTAAATGCCTTCAGCGACCGTGATTCCACCACTTCCCTGGGCAGTCTGTTCCAATGCTTGACAACACTTTCAGTGAAGAAAATTTTCCCAATATTCAACCTAAACCTCCCCTGGAGCAATTCTAGGCCATTTCCCCTGGTTCTATTGCTTATCACCTGAGAGAAGAGACAAACCCCCCCACCTGGCTGTCCCCTCCTGTCAGGAGCTGTGCAGAGCCAGAAGGTTCCCCCTGAGACTCCTTTTCTTCAGGCTGAGCCCCTTTCCCAGTTCCTTCAGCTCCTCCTCCTCAGACCTGTGCTCCAGACCCTTCCCCAGCTCCGTTCCCTTCCCTGGATGAACTCCAGCACTGGAATGGGTGAAGCAATGTTCTACCGGCTCTATCAGCAATTAATAACAATATGGACTTTTCTCTCCTTATTCCAAAATCTCATTTATCTGCCCTCCTGCAAGTTTGTGTTCACAGTTGCATTTTTCCCATGTTTTTATTGTTATCAATTTATAAGTGTTAACATATCACACTCTCAGTGATGAGTACCTGGGTGCATTTAACCTTGGGGTAACTACACAATAAATAATAGAGAGGGGCTTTATTGTCAAACATATGTGTGAAGAGCTATGCAAGAGTATGCACTAATGTGTGTACTCAAACTTGTGATAATGTTTAAAATTAAAACACTCTAATTAAACTCTAGGGTTTTTTTGCAAGTAGAAGAAATATTATCTTAAGGGAAAAAAGTATTGATATTTGTAGCTTTTTTGAGTATCAAAATTGGCAATGATTTTCTTATGATTCTTATTATACAGAAGTTAAATTTCCATTTATTCCTCTTTTACAAGTATCTTCATTTCTATCACACAAACACAGGTATTGGGGAATACAGAACAGTAATTCCCTTGCTGACCCAAAAGGAAATCTTTGCCTGACTGGTTTGCCCATGTCATTAGTCTGATACCAAGTTTTCCAGTCAGCCTCTGTTGCTCTCCCCAGATAAGCAGGTTTATTCCCTTCACCCAGCAAGGATTCAAATCCATTTTTCCTGAATGTCTTCTGACAGTTCTCAAGATTCAGACAACATAGTCACTCTATAAAATTCTGTTCCTTCAGCCTCATTCCTAATGCCGCAACAACAGTGACAGTGGAGTTGAGTTCACTGAGCAGTTCTAGGAAGGTTCAGAGGGTCTTTGGCTCTGGGTCAAAACTGCCGAGTTTTTCTGGTACTAACATGACATGAATGAAGTACAGCAATTTTTTATTTGCTGGACAGGCAATGGCCTATGACTCCTTTAAAGGAAAGGAGACAAGAAATTTTTAGTCCATTATTTGTGAGGGTAGGAGAACAAGAAAGGGAAGCCACAGAGAAGACAAAAATAAATAATGCATTTTTCTGCCTCAATTTAAGAGCAAAATATTAATTATGAGCAGATAAGTTGGACGAGAATAGGGACAGAAACAAAAAGAGTGAAATGAGAGATTAAAGACAACTTGGTTGAGTTAAATTCAATCAACCTGGAGAAATGAATCAATTAAAAGTTAAGCCAAAGCAATCTCTGAACAATTAGAAATTATTTCAGGGGATAAATGTAGATGGGATGGTCCAAGAAGAATGGAAAGAAGAATCAAAGTATGCATCTTCAAAAAGGAGGACTGGAGCACTGTTTTGAAATGGGGCATGATTTTTTTTTTACTGAATCATAGAAAGATTTGTTTTGGAAAGGACCTTTAAAATCACCTAGCTCTAGACCTCTGTTGTGGATGACATTTAAAAAAAGTGGTGCAAAATAGGCTGAATGTCCTGGAGAATAAAACCAGCAAACAATACCCTGTTATTTGTACATGAAAATCAAAGAGAAACTGATTGAGTTGGATTTTTTTCCCCTCATAGAATGGAATGCCAGTAAGGACTCAACAATATTCAACATAAAAAAAAGTATAATATGGACAACAATCAAATCTTTCTCATTTCTACTTGAGAAGGAGAAGAAGTCACTGGTTTCATTTGGAAAAAAAATCCCCCAAAACCATTAAATTAGATATCAGAAAAAACAAAGCTTTCTTGTTTCCTTTAAGCTTCATTAAACTCTGGAACACACGATCTAGGAGGTGATAAAGTCTTCTTCACTGCAAGTCTAAAGGTCAGATTAATAAATGTTAATGTAGGTGCTGGGTACATCCTGTCTGTGCTGGGAGGCAGATTCTGTTCACATTCCTGAGGTCTCTTTCTTTAGTACCATCATACCTATCTCTGCTTAGAATGCTTAGGATTTTTTAAGCATGAAAAACAATCTGTCTTCAGTGTGTTCTTAACCAAATAATGCCCATTCAGCATTTAGCTGTTGCTTCTGCCACAATCAGTCAGCTTCTTTGGACAGGAGTTTGATCTGCATTTATCACTCCTCATGACAGCCACTGGTGCCCCAGTCTGAGGCCATGAGGCTCTGCTGGAAGGAGAGCTGCTGGCTGCTGCCAGCTTTTGTAAACTTTCTAGGAAGGGAGATCAGGATGACTCTGCACTTTTTTTTGAATCAAGGCATAAAGAAGATTATTTGCTGCAATAGGTGACAGCAGTCAATGTGGTGATAACCTTGGCCTGTACATTATATTTCAAACAAACAAAAAAAAATCTTAGAAGTCCCATAGCACAGATTACTCAGCATTTCTGCATTGAGAAATCCAAGTATTGTCCTCAGTTTTCATTAACAGCCACACATGTAACTTGTAATGTATACAAATGATGAGGAGGCAGCTTTCTTTTAAATCATAGTAGTGGGCAGGAAATATATTTTTACATTATAATTCTTTGCTGTGATCCAATGGAAATAAACTTTACATTATTTTACCTAGGGGGAAAACACCTTTTTTTTT